TAGTCTCTGTCTTTTTTTTCACTGCTAAATTTAGCCTCAGGGACACTGATGCATCCAAAAAGACTCTGCAGCTTTCTCAAAAGCCTTGGGGCACACTGTTTTGGGCATGAAGATAGCTGCGGACTTCAGCATCCTGGAGAGTCAGAGGGAATGTGTGCATTGGTACTGCCAGCACCTGAGGAAGAGCCCCGGCTACCCATGCTGACCTCTGCTGCCCCGGCTGGGTCCGATATGCAGAGCAGGTGCCGAGTCACCCCATCACCCCCACCTCTGAACGGCCAAGTCTCCCCAGCAGATTGTGGGCTTTCTGGTGAAGGATTACTTTGCCAGACGGCAGAATCTGTCCCCAGACAAGATTTTCCACATCATTGTGGCCCCGTGTTATGACAGGAAACTGGAGGCCCTTTGAGAAGATGTTCCCACAGCTTACATAGTTCCCGGGGTGCTGGCTGAGTGTTAACCTCAGGTGAAATTGTCCAGAATATGGAGCAAAGTGACCTCACCTCAAATAACACCGCTGTGGACACTCTTTTTGGAGACACAAAGAAGGAGGAGGTGAGGCTCCACGAGGGTGCCAGCTCCGACAGGCACACTTCTTCAGGTCCATGGCCAAAGAGCTGTTTAACAGGAACATGGGAGTGCTCACCTACCGCACCCTGAGGAACAAAGACTGCCAGGAGGTCACCCTTGAAAGGGACAGAGAGGTTCTGCTGCGCTTTGAGGCTGCTTACAGCTTTCAGAACAGCCAAAAGTGGTCCTGAAGCTGTAGAGGGGCAAGTTCCCTGCCACTTCATGGAAGTCCTGGCCTGTGCCGAGGATGCCTAAGCGGCAGGGGCCCGGCCAGGCCCAGGCGGATGATGGGCATGCAGACAGGGCACTGCTGCAGCAGATGGAAGGATCTCTGCTGCCGTCCAGGTGTGGCCCCAGAGACCAGCGCCCATGTGCAGGAGCTGTACCAGGAGTGGCTGGGGCAACTCCCCCTGGCCCAGGCAGCCCTGCACACCGCCTAGCAGGGCCCAGGCCAGCCTGCCAGGACATCAAGTGGTAAAGGTCCAGCAGATGCCTGGCCTGCAGGCTGCCTGAGTAGGGGTGTCAGACGTGTGAAGGAAAGGCTTAGCATCTCTGTCATCGCTTTGGTTTTCAGAATTCCCTGTTCCCCATCTGTTGGCTTCCTCCCTCTGAGAGGTGCTATCATCATCTTCAGAAGCAATAATTTATTCTAATGACACTCCCATTACTTATAGAATTTTTAAAATTCTTTATAGACTCCCTTTAGTAATACATGTGCATTCTTTTGAATTATATATATATATATATATATATATATATATATATATATATATGTATATGTATATATATATATATATATGCAGTATTTTGAGAAAAGTAACAAAATATATACATATATATATATAATCAGAAAGGAAAGGAGTGGGAGAGAAAAGTAGAAACATCAGTGATGAGAGAGAATTATGGATTGGCTGCCTATGGGGATCTAGCCTGCAACCCAGGCATGTACCCTTGACAGGACTCAAACTGGGGGCCCTTCAGTCCATAGGCCAAGACTCTAAACACTGAGCCAAACCAGCTAGGGCTTGACTTTCTTAAGGAGGAATATAACTTTGCTCTTTGAACATAGAGTATTTGAAACAGTAAAAAGACAATTGAGCTGATGATTAAATATTGGGCAATATTATCTTTCAGCCAAAAATCAAACTTTCACCCTGAGGTAATGAGAAGAACACTCCCTCATTCTGTAGATAATGTTCAGATTTGCATTCTTGTTGGAATAAATTAATAGCCTCCAAGGTGAATCTTTCACTGAGAGCTTAGCTAAATCAGACATTTTGATAAATCAACACTTGTAGATTTGTTTTATAACTAAATTTTACAGTTATGCATCATCAATTTTATCTTCAAAACTGGATCATAAGCATCATAGATGCTTGCCATTTTGAACTTTTCTCATAGCACTCATTTTATTATTCTTAATAGCTTGTACACCTGTCTTCTCTTTCAAGACTGGAAGTTCCTTGAAAGCTCAGGCCATGCTTTAGGTACCTTTATATGCCAACATCTACCTCAGTGAACTGCAGGTAGTAAATCATATGTGTTGAATGAATAAATGAATGAATTAATGAATTAAATAGATGAATTGCTTAGGTCACTATTGTCCTGTATATTTCCATTGGTCTTAAACTGTTAAAAATAGCTGAATTTGGCCATTTTACACCTAGATTGAGGCCACTTTTACCCAGGAAGATCCGATTAAAAATTTTTCTTTAAAAAAATTTTATTAAGGTATTATATGTGTATATATCTTACCATTGCCCCCCACCCCTCTCCCATACATGCCCCCCCAGAGTTTTGCGTCCATTTATCTCTTATCTCCCCTTCCTCTCCCTAACCTTCCCGCTGTAATTTGACATTCTGTTTGATGATTTACTGTCTCTGTATCTATATTTTTGTTCATCAGATTGTAATTATCTTTGTTTTCCATAAATGAATGAGATCATGTGGTCTTTTTCTTTCATTGACTGGCTTATTTCACTTAGCATAATGTTCTCTAATTCCAGCCAGGTTGCTGCAATGGTAAGAATTTCTTCTTTTTATGGTAGCATAGTATTCCATTGTTAGATGTACCATGGTTTTCTGATCCAGTCATCTGCTGCTGGGCACCTCGGCTGTTTACAAATCTTAGCTATTGTAAATTGTGCCGCTATGAGAGGAAGATCTGATTTTAAAGATTGCCCAATATCATTTCTCTGATATTTGCTAATAGAATACATTAACACAATGCATGTTTCCTTACAGTCAGTCAATAAAATTTTACTGAGTAAATACTGAATGACTGAATGTATTTGGTTCACAGTTGACAAATTTTTGTTTTTTTTATAAATGAAAATGTCCAGACCTTTAGCTCATTCCTGGAGTTATTGCTGATGGGTTTTCTTAACTCAGCTACTCTCAAAAAATCCTTTGTCAATTTTTGTGAAGAGTTTTTATTTTCTTTGGAAAACATTTAATATTTGATATTTACCCAAGGTTTGTTTGTCCTAGCATAAAACTCATTTTATTGTTAATACTCATTTGGCACTGAGTTGAATAACAACTGTTTATCCTCTTCTATTACTAAGATCATATCAAATTTTGTTACTTTTCTCAAAATACTGCATAGCACAGGTCTTCAAAAAGCTCTGGAGTATGGCTGTGAAAACCACAATTCTCCTTGTCATTTAATAAGACACCAGGAAAATATACAAAGCACAATGGAAAGATATCTCTCCCTCTCTCTCTCTCTCTCTCTCTCTCTCTCTCTCTCTCTCTCTCTCTCTCTCTCTCATCCACACACACACACACACACACACACACACACACACGGTCACAGATTTAATTAATTATATGTTGAATTATAAGAAAGTTTTAATTGCACAAAGATAGTACATAACATCTCAAATATAAAAAAAGACAATTGGTAATGCTATTGAAATACAAAGACTTTTTTTTCAAGGACAGAAAAAAATTATACTCGGGATTCATAAATCTTTCTCATTATAAGTATATGGATTACTCAATCAGCTTTTATATATAGATAGGACTTTTTTTTTTCTTTTTTGAAGAATTCCATTGTAGCTATAGGTAAGAAATTGATTGTTGTAACAATGTATTGTGGTAATGTTGTAGCTTTCCTTTATTTTGCTTTTAGTGTAAGGATTGCTAAAGACTTATTAAAACTAGGGGCTCATTGCAGGAAGATTCCTGCAAGACTTCCAGCAGGCTTTCTGCCTGCCACTGCCACTTCTCCTGCCCCCCCACCTCTCTGCACCCCACCCACCCATGGCCACTGCCACCCAACCCACTACACCCGCCACTGAGGCCACATACACTGCCCGTGCTTTTTCTCCAGCAGCCATTTTGCTTTCCACTTTCCCTCCTTCTTCCTTCTCTGCTGTCTGCAGTCTTCACTCCTCCCTCCCTCAGTGTACGCAAATTAACTGCCATCTTTGTTGGGTTAATTTGCATACTCCCTCTTATTGGCTGTGGGCATAGCAAAGGTATGGTCAATTAGCATTTTCCTCTTTTATTAGTGTAGATACCTAACTGATATAAGGGGGATAAATGGTAATGGAAGGAAATTTGACTTGGAGAGTGATAAGCACAAAATATAAGATGACATATATTAGAATTGTACACCTGAAACCTATATCATTTTATTAACCAATGTCACCCTCATAAATTCAGTAAAAAAGTTTAAAAAAAAAATACCCAACTGACATAATGTGCTTTCATATCATTTCTGTGTAGAAAGAAGACACTGATGGAATCATGATCCTTCCCATCATTGTTTTGTTGCACATCACCTGGCCTCTTTCTATACCTGTTGCTTTGTTAAGAGGGAGGCCAAGCTGAAACTGGTTTGGCTCAGTGGATAGAGCATCAGCCTGTGGACTGAAAGGTCCCAGGTTCGATTCTGGTCAAGGGCATGTACCTTGGTTGCGGGCACATCCCCAATAGGGGGTGTGCAAGAGGCAACTGATCTATCATTCTCTCTCATCGATGTTTCTAACTCTCTATCCCTCTCTCTTCCTCTCTGTAAAAAATCAATAAAATATATTTCAAAAAAAACAAAAAAAGGGAGGTCAAGGGAGTTCAAATTTTAGGCAGCAGGTGGCAGGGCTGCCATCCTGCCAACCTAGCTAATCGCCAGCAAGTTTTACCTAGAATGGTTCTTTTAAAGGCAGGATGAGAAACAGACTTGCCTTCCAGTGAAAGGTGCCCAGCCATGTTTGCAAAAGAACAGAACAACCAATGCTGTGCTGGCTAAGTTTGGGTTCACGAGGGTGTTCCAAGCAGAGGGCCAAGCCGTGATTTATGAAGCATCGTAGTCAATGCCCAAGTCAGACTGGTCCTACAGAGACTGCCAAAGAAACCCTCTGGGTGTCAAGGTCCTACACAAAGCACTCAGGGTGGTAGGACCCCGCTGGTCCCTCTGCCTCTTGGGACAAGTGTTCAGGAGGGGATACCCAGCCATGAGGGCAGTGCCCTCCCATCCTGAAGTCAGCTACATGGAGCCTGCCAGGGCAAGGCAGCACCCAGGGAAATGTGAGAGGAGCACTTGCTTGGAGGAGCAGAGGGTGGACCAGAGGGTAGAAGGCCTGCCTCCCACATCTTCCCTCCTCCCCTCAACCTCCAGTTGGTCTGGAGTGTAGAAGGAACTAGACCATGTTCAGTCCAATCAGATAAATTGGTTAGGTGTCTCTTCAGATTCCAGAACACTTGGAAATGGTAATTCTGCCAAAAGAGGCTCCGTCAAAGATGATCTGGGTGACAAACTGCAGTTAAAAACGTCATCTATTGAACCTGAAAGAAGTAAAGCAGACATTATTGCCAACACTGGAAAACAGAAGCAAACACATAGTGCCTTCAGGACTCATACAATACACAAGGAACCATTTCAACACCGAAGAGAGGATCCTGGCTTCCTCAGAAATCCCAAAAGCACAATAGAAATGGGTTACATTTTGTTTACCAGTAGGACCTGCGTTGTCCTTTGCTTTACCTTGGCCAGAGTAGCTTTGCAGTGAGTTGCATGAGCCTTTTCTCACTTGATGCCAACAGGCCCAAAGTTGGTTCAGCTTAGGACAAAGATTGGACCACTGGTGCATCTTAGCTCTGCCTTCTGCCATGACATGACCTTTCTGGTCAGTCCTGAAGAACCCTTCCCCATGGCTCTGGGGTGGAAGTGGCTCAAGGGCCGGCTCAGAGTAAATTTTAAGGAAGCACCACCCAAGTTCACAAACCCCTGTTGTCCCCAGGATGGCAGTGGGCACCCTGCACAACCTACATGACAGAGGGTGAGCAACAGTGAAACAGTAAAACTCTACCCAGGCTGCTATGGTAGTGGGTAAGGCTGGAGGGGTGTCACAAGAAGAACTAGGCATCTGGGACTGCCACAACCAGGCAAGCTCATCTTGCCCCAAAAAAGATCAGGGTAACACTCCCCAACACACACACACACACACACACACACACACACACACACTACTGCAAAGGAGCAGAGTACAGAGGCATCTTTGCAAGGAACACTGAGACAGAGAAAGCTAAAGCAATGTGGAAGGAGGGAGAAAAAAGGAGAGGAAGGGGGAGAAGGGGAGTGGGAGAGAGATGGGCAGAAGGAGAAGAGAGAGGGAGAGGGGTAGGGAAGGAGAGAGATGGATGGGGGAGGGAGGGAAGAGAGGGAATGAGGGGAGGAGGAATCAGGAGAGACAGAGAAACAGAGACAGATGGGCTACTTCCAAGATAAGAAATAGCCAGAATAAGCATTTTGCTAAAACATCGGGAGAAAGCAACTGTATTAAATACAATTAATAAAGACCTGTATTTCACATTCAAACTTTTTGAAAGCTATAGGTTCATAGAGACTGGTGGAGTTTTTTTTTAATTTGTTTTGGTTGTTTGTTGGAATTAGCAGCAAAAATCCTGATTCAAGGACTTTTTACAGCCCAACTATCATGGGACAAAGACAACAGACTCAGCGGTGTGACTGGTATCATTGCTCAGCCACAGCAGCCTGACAAGTCTCCTCAACTCCTAGGAAAGAGGCACTGGATATCAAAATCCAGAATGTACCACGTATAATATGTCATTTGTTCACTGTGATCTCACAAACTCTGGAGAACCCTTCCAATTTTTTTAATCCTCACCCAAGGATACGTTTATTGATTTTAGAGGAGGAGGAGAAGAGAGAGAAAAATCTATATGAAAGAGAAACATCAACCAGTTGCCTCATGTATGTGGAACCTATAACCTGGGTATGTGCTTTGACTGGAATTGAACCTGAAACCTTTCCTTATATTGATGGACATTGCTCCAGTCAACTGAGCCACATTAGCCAGGGCCAACTATTTTAATTGAAGTAAAATTGATAGCTACTGACCATGTAGACTCCTCCTCCAGCTGACACCTTTGTTCATATCTGTTGCCAGAATATGCACACCAAAAAAGCATCATTCTTTCATAATATTTAAATAAATGTTAACAATATTCAATGAGCATTAATATGTATTTAAATTAATAATATATTTTAAGATTATTTTTCTGGGTGTGCTGCATAATATAACTACTATGTCAGAAAACTTTAAGGAGCTAATACCATATTTCTTTTTGGTAGTAAACATGTCTCACTTCTTACTTTCTGAATAATGTGATATATTTCCCTTTATCTAAAGGCCTTATCTTTTCCAGGTATTAACTCTCCACTCCCATTATACTATACTACCTTTTTATTTAACTATGAGGATTTTAAACATACCTCTAGAAGTTACACTGAATTTTCGGTCAGAGAAACTGCTCCTTCGAATTAATGGTTCACTCATTTTTTCCAGAAATAATTTAATTGTCTCCTTCTTTTCTGGTCTTGTACTTGACAAATTCAGAACTTTTCCATTCACCTTTACAGTGGAATTGCTGAGCCCAAACCAATAGAAGAAATCAAATAATGCATCAGCTTTGAACTCATAGGCAAAGCTCAAATTTTCTCCATTAAGAACCTCATTTCCTGGAGGAAAATAATTCTTTACTGCTTCTTGAAAATCAAACTGAAAGAGAGAGAAACATTTGATGAATTTAATGCATATAATGATAATTTTATATCCTAGAATTCTATGTTACTAACAACTGCCCAAATGTCCAAAATGTCACACCTCTTATTTTTCTTTCATTCTGGCAGATTCTTTTAAACAGTAGCCTTAACTTTTAAAAAATCATTTCAGAGAGGAAGGGAGAGGGAGATAGAAACATCACTGATAGAGAGAACCATTGATTGGTTGCCTCCTGCATGCCCCCTTCTGGGGATTAAGCCCACAACCTTGGCATGTGCCCTGACTGGGAATCAAACATTACCTTCTGGTTCATGAGTTAACGCTCAACCATTGCCTTAACAAAAACATATGTATTTGAATCATATTACATCTACAGACCTTGAAGTGCTTGGTCAAACTGGCATTAATTATTATCCCATTTCTGATAAGTTGCTATAAACTCTGCTTATTTTATTGGTAATGATTATGAAGCAATAGAAAACATCTATATCTGGACTCAGCTAAGTTATAGCTGAGCTCTAGGGACTCAGCTCTATACGAAGTGCTGGAACCCCTCTCTGTGGCAGCAGTCATGGATTCAGACAGGCTAACACTTACCTGGAGCCGGTAGCTTTCTCCAATCACTGAGGAAATGACCATGTCCATCCCTTGCTCTATCTGCCTTCTTATCTTAGGGTGCCTTGTGTTAACAAGGAAGGCATATGTTCTTTCTAGAAATTTGGAAGCAGAATTCAAAAAAAGAAGTGTTCATGGGTGACATAACATACTTCTTAGTGTTGGACAAAGCAGTGATTCCCAACTTATTTGCAGATTTTATTCATTTTTAGTCCCCCTCACTGCAAAACCTCACCAAATTTCTAGAAACATTCAGAGAATTTTGCAGATGAGAAGGAACCAGGACCCCCTGGGCTGCACTTTGTCACTTCTGTCTGGGAAATCATCGTTATCAGAAATGAGAACTGAGCCTCCATGGAAGCATGCAGCACAGGGAGCTGAAGTGAGAAAGAAACATGGGATGGCTAGTGTTCCTGGATATTTGAACAATGACCTGACTGTCACTCACACGTTGTTATTTGCAAAACAAAACATCAGCCAAGTCCAGGGAAGAAGGCTGCCCCATATCTCCCCCTCCCACTAAACCCTTCTTCCCAGGGACTTTGATTCTGCCAAAGGGATGGTCTAGGGTAGGGGTGTCGAACTCAATCAGAGAAGGGACCAAAATCTAAAATCCAGCCTAAATCGCGGGCCGAATGGTTGACTGAACAGTCATAAACTGTCATTGTGATGGAAACGCAGTGGAGTGCACTGATGACAGCACGGTGCGGGCCACATTGCAAGGCCTGGCAAGACGGATTTGGCCCGCGGGCCTTGTGTTTGACACATGTGGTCTAGGGTGTTATGAATCGAGGCAATTTGAGATGGACTCTCTTCTATGCCCTAACAATCCCCAGTGGGAAAGAAGTCCGTCCCCCCCCCCCCCCCCCCCCATTGCTTAAATTGCACCATGTCTGTGTCCTGGTACAGTTGAGAGCTGGAGGCTAATTCTAACAGGTCATAAATTCAAGAAGTTCATCAAAAGGTTGGTAGACCTTGAGCCTTCAACAAGGAATGAATACATATTATTGCCTACTGGAATAGCCGAAAGAATTTCCCCAAGCCTGAAGATCTGCATATATTGCCTGTTACCAGACAGCTGAGGGCATTTCAATCTACATGCTATTACCTCCTGCTGGCCAAATATTGGCAGTTCCCCCAAAACTGACAATACCTAATACATACTAAACCTTACCTTTGATATGTATATCTAACTTGCTATAGGGCAAAAGGTGGGAATAAAAAGAGCCCTAGATCCAGAGATAGAGAGAATTTACCTACTATAGCTAAGCTTCCTTTGGCTCCCCCATGGATTGCAAATTTATATTATATTTCTAGTCTCTTTATTAATTTACATGCAGTGCCTTCTCCAGATTCCTGAACCCTTCCAGATGCTGGAGAAAAAAAACCATCGGTTGAGGTTTTGTTATGTTTTTGTTGTTATTTTTTGTTCTTGTAATCTCTTAAATCCAATTCTATCCAATTCTATATAATCTAAGCAAAATGAAGATTGTCTACTCATTAAGAAATTTGAAATACTATTAACCAACAGCCCCTTAACTTTTCAGCCTCCAGAATTACTGAAGTGCTTTTTCTAAGGAGACACATAACATAGACTGCTGGCCTCTGTTTAAACACATGGGCCAGCCATTAGGTGATTTTGAGAACTCAACATTTTTCCTTGGCTTTCAGCATGAAAACTGTGGTCCACCAATAGTACATGTTACATCCTTGAGGAACACATTTTAAACTAAGCTTTGCACTGACCTTATTCATCTTAATTTTTCTACCCCTGTCTTTCTCCTAAATTATTTTTGGGCATTTTAGATATATACTCTTTGAGTCAGACATAACAAAACAAGTAAAACAAGCAAGCTATTTTATACCTTAAATTTACTTTCACACAAAGCAAACCAGGGCCTTTGTGTGTTCTCGGGGCAGGCATACTTCGCTGCTTCCGCTCACCCCTATATTGATTGCCCAGGTTGTACACAGCACAACCTGAAGAAGACTATTCACAGTCACAAACTTATTTGTGTGTTTATTATGAAAAATTATAAGAAGAATTAGTAAATTGTCTTGAGCTAATGGTGGCTTTTTCTAATTTGAGCAAAAGTACAGTTTAAGATATAGCAGCTGGGCTGGACATCATGTTATCTTAATCACAATTTTCACAATTTAAACTTCACCATCTTACTTAAGCTTTTGTAGCATTAACTCTCTCTTTGTATCATGGCTTTCCTTACAATGAATCAGCCCTGGGTTTCTATACCTCCTCCCACAATAGTTATACAACCATGTACCTTTTGTAGGCCACCTACAAGTACCTCCCTGTAAGGGCACCCTGCACTTACATTAAAATGTTAAAATAGATAGATCTCTTATTCTTACGATTCCTTCTGAGAGATAGATCAGGAGGTGTACTTAATGCATCTGTGATTTATATCTCTAGAGAAATTTAGGGATTAATGGCCATCATCAAGCCAAATAACATCAGGGGCTCAGATGCTCTACAAGTGTCCAGAACATCCTGACTTTGAGTTAAAAAGTGAGCAGAGCCGAAACCGGTTTGGGTCAATGGATAGAGAGTCGGCTTGGGGACTGAAGGGTCCCGGGTTTGATTCCTGACAAGGGTATGTACCTTGGTTGTGGGCATATCCCCAGTAGGGGGTCTGCAAGAGACAGCTGATCGATGACTCTCTCTCATCGATGTTTCTAACTCTCTATCTCTCTCCCTTCCTCTCTGTACAAAATCAATAAAATATATTTTTTTAAAAAAGTGAGCAGAAAATCTGAATGACTCTGGATTGAAATAAGCAGAGAATAGCTCCAGGAATCTGGATGAGACTGAATGTTTAAGGAAGTTTATTTGGACCTTGTAGATTCTTTCTTGTTACCTTGGAATGACAATAAGAATGTTGTTTTGCAATAAATTTCAAAAATTCTATTTCTATCATTATGTCCATTATTTCCCCCATGATTTCCCATCTCTGGCAGGAGGAAGAAAGGGAAATTGAGATATTCTTCATGTTGGATTTGTGTTAATATGGCTGTTAACAGCCAGTATGATTTCTTGGAAGAATCCATAAAGAGACATTTCTAAAACTGAAATTTAAATATCATAGAATGAGACATAAAAGCATCTACAGGTATTTATTTTCTTTATCTTAGTTTTGTCATCTATAAAATGGGGGTAGCACAAATACCTCAAGTTGGATGACCATGCATCCTAATTTGCCTGAGTTAGTCCCAGCAGAATTATTCACAGTACTTCCTTTCATGTCCAAAAATGTTCCCGTTTGAATGAAAAGCCCAGTGGGGCTGTTGTGCCAGCTGACGCTAGAGCAGGCCTAGAACACCTAAGTGTCTCATACGTGGTAGAGAGTATTACATACCTTCATCTTCATCATTTCAGTCATTTTTGCAACCCCTGCAGGCTCAAAATGTAAAAACACTTCCTGCCTTGACAGAAAGTATAAAATAAAACTCAGACACAGGGCTACTGCCCCAGGCTTATGCAGAGGTTTGATCTGCAGGCTAGTGCTGTGCTTCAGATGGCCTGACACACCAGGCTTCTGGCTCCAACCTTGTCACAAGCGGACAACACCCTGCTTTCTCCCTACCCAATTTCTGACATCAGTATGCCACAGTCCACAGCCCAAGGCAGAACCCAACCAAAGTTAGATACCAACCTTTGGAGGTGTCTTTTCTGGTCTGTACATTGATAAAGAACAGCATTGGTTTGCTCAGTATAGTCTCCCTGTAGTCCTTATAATCGCAGTAGTTGGTCAGTTCCACATACCTATGGAAAAAGCAGAGATAACTGCAAATGTAATATACCTGCCCATCTAAGTTGGGAAAGGGATGTCTGGACAGGTGCCCACCACATTCCTAGTCCCTTTGAGAGAGGTAGGTCCTCTAAAATGTGTCATTGCAGAGGAGAAGTGAGGCTGGGAAAGAGGGTAGCAGTTCAGGGGTTCCCCAGGGCTCTCCTGTCCCCTCTGCCTTCCGTGTATTCAGCTGCTAAGGACTTGGTCCAGCAGACAAGAGAGAGCTGAGAAGAGGAGGGGCCAGTGAGGCCTGTGGGTGCAGATGGGTAGGGGAGAGAAGAAGAGGGGGAAAACTCTCATAGCAAGAGAAGAAAAGGGCAAGACTGAATGGATTAAACATAAAAAAGAGATAAACGATGTCAGTGCAGGAGTCAGGTACCACCTGTGATCCATCCAAGGTGGGTTTTCACAGTCTCCCACCTTTTCATCACAGTGTCAATTAATAGTCACATTTCCTCAAAGCGACTCCTCTGCTCTCTCAGCATCCATGGTCAGATTGTCACTCTCTGGCACAACAAGAAAAACTGTAGTTTTTATTACTATTCTGATGATGCACATGATAACACCTGCCTCTGCCTATATACAATCCATCATCTGACCCAATGTGTCATTGGTAGGGAAAAGATAAAAATTTCAATTGGGAAATGACCACTAGGTGTGAAAATAACCAGTTTGCTCCAGAATTCTATGGATGGCTTTTGGAACACTATGGATTTGGCGTGTTCAGAGAAGGGGGCTGAGGTGGGGGGAAGGGGGTTCTGGATAGCCACATGCTTGCTTTAATGGGTCACCTACACATGAGTCATTCTTTTCTTTTAGAATCTGAATTGATAAGATCCCCTGAATAATAAAGCTATGCTCAACATAATGTATTCTTCCTTTGATGATTTAGAAGCACTTTTAGGATCTTAAGGGGCCTGTTAACATTATGGCAGAGCATGGCAGTTATCCCTGTACCTCAGAGGTGTGGAGACACTGCTTATATGAGAGCTGGTAACAGAACTCAGACAAAGAGATGGAGGCAAGATCCCTACTTACCGATTCAGGTCACGAGAAATACTTTCTCAAGTCATCTATTCCCAACCTCCCCGTTATGGTCCAATTGTTAAACACCTCTAAGCTCCAATGAAATAAAGAAATATGAGCATTCCTTTGAACTTGCTGTTATAAAATTTGGATATGTAAGTCACCAAAATGCAAAAAAAGATTGAGAATCAAGTTGTTAATCTCACGGATATTTAAGAATCTGGCATCCAATCACTTGTTTTATTTTGGAGGAGCCATACTAGACTGTTTTAGGGATTAGTTGTTTCATCTTTAATCGTGCACATTTCTGAATTACTAATGCAAACACTGTTTTTGTGAACTGGGTACTTACTATATTTGCTGATGTTATCATTAAGGAGGAAAAGCAAACAGCTGAAGATGGTTCCTTTAAACTCTCATTTCATTGTTGCCTTTACTCTGGCCCCAAAATGCTTTTTTCTAGGCTGAAATTTTTTACACCTGCCTCCAATCCAAAGATTGAAAGGCAGAACAATATGATTCGAAATGAAAAGATCCAATTCATGCCCTAACTGACTGACTGTATGAACTCAGTCCCACAGCCACAACCCATTGTGACCTTAAGTGAGTTACTTAACTGGCCTGACTCTGTGCTTTCATCTGTAAGGGATACAACAGCATTACCTTCTGTCTGTCAATTCAATGCAGTGCAAGTAGTGTTGACATATGTACTATACTTGGGTCCATAGTAGATGCTCAACAAAATGATTAGTATCTATAATCCTGGCCAATTCTGCTGGCCACAGGGTGAATGAAGTTCTGTAAGCTTCTGACACCCAACTAGGGCTAGGTTCCTTTGAGTTACAAAAAAAAAAAAAAAAAAAAAAAAAAAAAAAAAAAAAGGAGGACAATCTGAGCATCTGGGAGGAAAATGAGCAAGAGTTTATCCTTCATTGCTCCAATTTCTGTCCTCAGCTTTTCTGTTTGGAAAGCTAAAGAGAACAGCTTAATGAAGGCAATATTTGAAAGTTAGGATGAGAAAAGAACACTATTTTGCTTCTAGTGAGTCAGGACTGACAGAAAGATTGCCTACCTTCTAAGATACCTCCCTTTTTCTTAAGTCCCTTCAGGTTTCACATCATCTGTAGCATGATCTGAAAAGCTTCTCTAAAGTTCCATTGGCTCTGAAGATTTACTGATCAAAGAGGAATGAAAATTCAAACCTATAGCTTCCATTTGAGTGTGTGTGTGTTCATTAAAAAAATATGGAGCCCTAGCTGGTTTGGCTCAGTGGATAGAGCACTGGCCCGCAGACTAAAGAGTCCCAGGGTTGATTCTGGTCAAGGGCACATGCCTGGGTTGTGGGCTTGATACCAAGTAGGGGGCAATGATACCAAGTAGCTATCAATGATTCTTTCTCATCATTGATATTTCTATCTCTCTCCCTAACTCTCTGAGATATATATATATGTATATATTTTAGAGGCCCATTGCACAATATTTGTGCAAGAATAGGCCTTCCTTCCCTGGCTTTGCTCCCAGCCACACGGGAGCCTGCAAGTCCTCACTCACAGCTGGAACACTGCTTCTGTAGTTTCCTCCACCACCCCCCTTCCCCTCATAGCAGATGTCCCGCCGCTCCCAGCTGCTCTCACCTGCATATGCTATCTTTGTTGGGTTAATTTGCATACCCACTCCTGATTGGTTGTGGGCATAGTGGAGGTACACTCAATTTGAATGTTTGTCTATTATTAGGTAAGATATATATATTCTATCTAAAAAGAGAGTAAGATGCAAATTAACCATCACTCTGCTATACCACAAGCCAGCCCATCAGCCAATCAGAAGCTAATATGCAAATGGCTACGGCCTCAGAAAGCAGGAGGGAGGCTTGGGTTTCCCTGGCAATGGAGGAAGCCAAGCTTTCCACCTGCCCTTGCTGGCCTATGCCTCCACTCAAGGCTACAAAGTTTCAATGATAGAAGATACATAAATCTAACAGAAATGGCAGCAGCCATGGAGCTGGAAAGAGCAGGAGATGAGGGTTGCCCCTGGCAATGGAGGTAGCCAAACTTTCCGCACACCCTGGTTGTCCCAGGCCTCAGCTTAAGACTACAAAGATTCAATTATAGAAGATACATAAATCACAACAGAAATGGCTGCGACCATGGAGCAAACAGAAGGCGTGGCTCCTCTCCAGCTACAAAGTTTCAATTATAGAAGATAAATAAACCCCAGATACCAGGGCCTCCGCTTGGGTCACCAGGGGTTGTGGCCGGCCTGCAAACCACCACAGGCCCCTTGCCCAGGCCACCCTACACCCCAAGGGAGCCCCCACCCTGATCCTGATCCGGGACATCCTTCAGGGCAAGCCAGTCAGCCCCCATCCATGCAGTAGGCCTCTATCCTATCTAATATGCAGATTGACCATCGCTCCAACACACAAGATGGCTGCCCCCATGTGGTCAAAGATCCTGCTCCCATGTGGACACAAGATGGCCACCACAAAATAGCCAGCAGGGGAGGGCAGTTAAGGAGAGAAGACTGGCAGAGGAGAGAAGTTGGGGGAAACCAGGCCTGCAGGGAAGGGTAGTTGGGAAGGACCCAGGCCTGCAGGAGAGAGCAGTTAGGGGGGACCAGGCCTGCAAGGGAGGGCAGTTAGGGGCAAACAGGCTGGCAGGGGAGCAGTGAAGCATCAATCAGGTGAGCAGGGGAGTGGTTAGGGTAGGGGTGTCAAACTCAATCAGAGAAGGGGCCAAAATCTAAAATCCAGCCTAAATCGCGGGCCGAATGGTTTACTGAACAGTTATAAACTGTCATTGTGATGGAAACGCAGCAGAGTGCAGTGATGACAGCGCGGTGCGGGCCACATTGCAAGGCCTGGCGGGACGGATTTGGCCCACGGGCCTTGTGTTTGACACATGTGGGTTAGGGGGTGATCAGGCTGGCAGGCAGAAGCAGTTAGGGGCAATCAGGAAGGCAGGCAGGTGAGCAGTTGGGAGACAGCAGTCCTGGATTGTGGGAGGGATGTCCCAGATTGGAGAGGGTGCAGGGACAGCCCTCCCCCGCCCACCCCGCCATGCACAAATTTCATTCATCAGGTCTCTGGTGTATACTAGAGGCCCAGTGCATGAATTCATATTCTCTCTCTCTCTCTCTCTCTCTCTCTCTCTCTCTCTCTCTCCCTCTCCCTCTCCCTCTCCCTCTCCCTCTCCCTCTCCCTCTCTCTCTCTGCAGAATGATTCATTCATTCATCCATTCATATATGCAATAAACATTTGCACCAATGATATGCTGGGCATTGGGGACACATGAGAAATGGTCTTGCTTTCAAGGATCATATAGTCCACTGAGGAGACAGATAAGAAGATGCACCATTTCAATATGAAACAATAACTTTCTATGACTTTGTTGCTTAAAGTGTGGCCCTTGAACTAGCAGCACTGGCATCATGTGGGAGCTTGTGGAACTGCAGATTCCCAGGCCCCTCTCCAGGTTTATTCAATCAGAATGTATGTCCACACAGTCTCCAGGAGACCAGCATGCTTACTTAAAGTCTGGGAAACACCGGTATAAGACATGGTCCCTCCCACTCAGAGGTTTACAAACTAGTTAATCATTCAAAAACACAAATACTGGAGGAATGCTCATATCTCTACATTCAGTGTCTGCTCTTTCCACAGGGTTATGTCTCAGTTACTTAAATAAGAGAAAAGTGGGAGAGTCCTGGGGTCAGAACCATTTGTTGAGCTGAGACACTCACTAGAAAAGTGATCTTTCTGTTGGGCCCAGCATTCTGTGGATGGTGAGCAAAGCAGGAGAAAGATGGAGAACCCAGAAGGAGTCATGGCTTAGCCAGGCCTTGGGAACAATGGGGTGGCTTCCTCCCTGCCTGTAGGTAGGCATATGGCAAGCATCAGGTGAGCTGAAAGCAAGAAGTAGACCAGGGTGTGTCTGGAAGCCCAGAACAAAGCTCCTGAGGAAGAGTAAGTATCCTGAGGAAGGAAGGCAGGAGAGAAGGCAGCAAAGGCTTGATGCTTTTCAATAATCTGATTTGGAATTGATTTCTGTCTCTGTGACTTTTAACTTTGACAAGATCCATATCCTCACCTGTCAAATCTAGCTGACAAAAGAAAATTTGTGCCTTAGCTTGTTTGGCTCAGTGGATAGAGCACAGGCCTGAGGACTGATGGGTCCCAGGTTCGATTTTGGCCAAGGGCACATGCCTGGGTTGCAGGCTCGATCCCCAGTAGGGGGTGTGCAGGAGGCAGCTGATCAATGATTCTCTCTCATCATTGATGTTTCTATCTCTCTATCCCTCTCCCTTCCTCTCTAAAATCAATAAAAAAAATTTTTTTTTTTAAAAAGGAAGTCCTTAAAGTGGCTAAAAGGTTAAATAATGTGTGTGAAGCACTTGGCCTTGGGGGCTGCTTAATAATAATATAAAAGCTATTGATTGTCAAGTAATCAATATGTGCTAATAGTTATATTAAGTACTTTATGAATTTTCACTCTGAACAGCAACCCTGAAAGAGTGAGGAATTATCATTCCTATTTTACAGCTGAGGAAACTGAGTCATGGAGATGAAGTAGCTTTCCCAAGCCACTGAGTCAGTAAGTACAGAACCTGGATTCCAACCAAGGCCATCTGGTGCTGGCTCTCCCACCCATCCACATGTACTTGAGACTGTACTCATAAAAATCACAGCTCAGCCCACCATGAAAATTACTTCATCAGTATCACTCGGTGCCCTGCTGAACTGGGAAAACACCAAAGCCAAGACTCAGACATGGGAACCAAAGCTGAAGACCAGCCAAGAGGGCAGGATGGGCACCGCTGAGTTCAGCCACAAGAGTAACCATGCTGCCCTTTGTACATGGAGCTGTCAGTTTCCAACCTCCTGGCCTCAGTCAAGATTACTTCTTTTATATATATATTATTGATTTTTTTACAGAGAGGAAGGGAGAGGGATAGTGAGTTAGAAACATCGATGAGAGAGAAACATTGATCAGCTGCCTCTTGCACACCCCCTACTGGGGATGTGCCTGCAACCAAGGCACATGCCCTTGACTGGAATCGAATCTGGGACCCTTGAGTCCACAGACTGACACTCTATCCACTGAGCCAAACCTGTCAGGGCCAAGGTCACTTCTGAGAGGTGGGCCTGGGCAGGCAGAGGGAGCCCAAGCACTTCCACTGTGGAGTGGGGGCGAGGCTTCCCCAGTACAAACCTGACTATGTTCCAGTTCTGCCTTGGGGTCCTCACTTTAACTCCGTGAGTCTCCTCTTCCAGCCCCTCACTCTCTACCTCTGTGGCTGCCCTCCAGGTGAGTGTGCCTGTCACCATCTAACAGCTGGTAGAACACAGGCAGGAGCAGTCGCCTCTCTGCTTTAACTGGCTTCTTTACAACCACTAGACTTACTTTTGCTTTTAGGTTGATTATACATGATGAGTACTGGCTGATGTAATTTCAGTTATTTTTTTTTTGTAGATTTCACGAGAAAGCTGCTGTCTACAGTAATGCAGGAAGCTTTCAGGTCAGGGCGGTGTGCCCAACACATGGGTGCGTAGTTAGGCAAGGCTGCATAGGAGCCTTGCCTCCATGCTTCCCAGGATCCCATTTAGGTGCAGAACTTGACCCTCCCAATCCTAATTTCTCACCTGCACAAAGGGGAGCTCCATACACTTTTGTGAAGTAACAGCTGTGAAACATTGTGCTCCATTCCTGGTACTCAAGCAAACATTAGTGACCCCTGTTATTATTGTCAGGCTTATTTTTATTACCCATGCAGCCTCTCTCATGCTAGGGAAACTCTGAAAAGCAGGGATTATAGCTCCTCTTTGCCCAGTGTTTGCCATTATACTTCACTCACAGGAAAAAAGGTGTGTGTATGATAGTTAATGATAATTTATACCTTGTATCTTGAGCAGGTTTTGTTTGTAGTACCAACAGAAATCCAGAGCTTGATGGAAAAAATAATAGTAAAGATTTTGCTATAAATCCCACAAAGTAGGACAAAGATTTTTAAAGCAGGTCCTCAGAAGCTTTAAAGCCTGAGGGCCATCAAAAAACCTTCCCCTCACCCTACATTGCCTTGGGCTTATTTATGTAGAAAAGTGTTAAAGTGTCAGAAAACAAACCACAGTAAATTGAGCCAGTGAACCACAGGAATGTCAGGGTCAGGAGCTCCGAACCTTTTGGTTTTCTCGGGAAAGGACCTAGTAAAGCCACAGTACACACTTCTGCGGCCCCGGAAAAAAATCCTGCTTACACTGTGGGCTTATCCCAAACCAAAAATATTTGTGCAATGGAAAAAGTAATTAGTAGAGCAAGAATTCCTAACCTGAACTCAACTATCTCATAAGCTACCCAAATGGTCAGCAACATTGGGTGTGTCTCTGTGTTTCTGGGGGGAAGATCTACATGTGATTGATTCCCCAAAGTCTACAGTCCAAAGTGATTAAGAATGATTGCTTTGCTTTCTCCCCCTGCCCCCAACACACACCTTCTCGGCTGCTCTATGGCAGGAATATGGTGACTGCAAAGATGAAAAAGTCACTGGTGAAAGAGCACCATCAACAACTCATGAAAAGTGGAAAGTATGTGTGGGGGTACAGCCACCTCTGAAGATGACAGACAAGGCAAAGAAACTGTCATCCTCTCTAACTGCCCAGCCTTGGCGAAGTCCCAAATAGAGTGCTACTCCTTGTTAGCCAAAACTGATGTTCACCACTCCCCTGGAACTAACAGTGACCTGGGCACAGCCGCTAGACACACTGACGTACACACACTGGCTGGTAGCCAGGTGATGTGTGACCTTTAGCAGTCTGCCAAGGCAGACTGGTTAAAAGCAAGTCGTGCAATGTGACTTCAGTAAAACTGGCCAAAACTTACTGAAGCAAGAAGTGAGGAAGAAAGGAAGGAAAGGAAGAAAAGGCGGAAGGAGGAAGGGAGGGAATAAATCACTGCTTTGGAGCAATATTTTGAGAGAGGAAGCTGTATGCTAGCCCCAGGGTAAATTTGGCCAAGCTGAGGAACAGCAACTTTGGAAATCTGAATTCTGACTATGCATCCACCTTGTGATCCATGAGGGCAAACCTCTCACTGCGGCCTACAACTCAGTCTTCCCTCTCTTTCTGGAAGGCTCTCTCCATTCACACTAGTTTCCTTCACAGGACTATACACCCAGTTACAAAAGCCTACTTTCCCTGCCATAGGATGTTCCTGAGAGGAAAGCAGATGGTTCCTTCCAGTACCTCAATTATTTTCAGTTCTTCCTGGCTCTTTCCTACCATCCCAAAACCTCACACAATTGCTTAGATGACAAAAATCTTGTTTTTCTGACTGTTTGCACCCTGGTCTGTTGCCTGGTCATTATTTATTCTGGACTCTAAACTGCCAGGGTGTTACTGCTGTCTTATATTCTTTTATGTAGGAGATGTTTGAAGAAAGAGTTTAATAACCATACTACAAAATCATTTAAAAATTTGCAGCACTGTTTGCTAAGACTGGGAGAACTGCCTCTGTCAAAAGCCTAACTTGTATCTTCAACTAATTCTTAGCATTTTTACTTTTCATATCGTTCTCAAATGCAATGCTTAACTTCTTTTTAAATCTCTGCAAATCTGATTTCTAATTCAGTTTCTCCCAGGCCCCTGCTTATGGGTCAGAATTTTCTATTCACTAAGAAAGGGAGAAATTCTTGCTGCGGAATGGTTTTCCAGGCATTCAAAGCCCTCCTCTCTGCGGAAAAACAAGGTTTTCCCAGCGGCTGGAAGAAGGCATTTTAAATGCCTTCTCTTGCTTGCCTCTTCTTGGCTGCATCTCATCCACGGGTGGCACAGAGCTGCTGTCTTTCTCAGCAGCAAAGGCTTTGTAATAGCTGGTGGGTTTACTCGGCTATGAACCAAGCTCTAGACTGCTCTTACATGATTACAGGCAGTCAATTTTCAGAAAACTATGACACATGCACACTTGCACACAGCACTTACGTTTGCCCACAGAGGGTCCTGGGTTAGACTTTATGGGACTTTGTTCTCTTCTCAGCTATTTATTTATTTAAATATTTATTTATTTATTTATTTATCCATTTATTTATTTATTTACTTGAAGCATTAAAAGATGGGACACTTTGAACTTTTATAGGACTCTCCACTGGGTCTCCTCACTGGGTAAAGCTCATAGTGCACAAAAGTGAGCGTTCTCTCCCCGCTCCCACCAAGCTGAAGTCAGGATGTGAGTCTCTTCTCTGAAACATCCCCGAAGGGTGTGCCCTGTTTGAGCTCATCTGACCCGGTGAAGGAGCCAGAAAGGGAAAATCACTGGCCAGCGGGGTGCTCCCCTGCGGCTTCGAGCGCAGCTGTGAATGTCTGGGAGCCGGGCGGGAGAGCGGGCGGGAGAGCTGGCGGCCTTGGGGACGGCACCCAGAAGCGAAGGACAGAGGGACTCCCGGGGACCCCGAGGCGGGCGGGGTGGGGGAGGCGCACGCACCTCTTGATGTAGCGGCCGAGGCGGCAGAGCTGCCCGTCCACGCGCACCAGGCCGTCGGCGAAGACGTTGAAGCCCCCGCTGGCGGCGGCCGCCTCCCCGGCCCCGGGTGCTGCGGGCTGGTCCCCGCGCAGCGGGAGGGCGCCGGGCAGCAGGCGCAGCAGCTGGGCCACGGGCAGCAGCGCCAGCTCGCAGTCGCACGTCCACAGGCTGCGCAGCTCCCCCGACGAGATGGACGTGAGGCTGGGCCTGGCCGGGGGTGCGCACGCCGCCGCCATCCCGCCGCCTGAGGTCCGGGTCCGCCCGCTCCGGTGCCGCCCGCCGCCGGTGAGGAGGGAGCGCTGCAGCCCGGGGCGCGGAGAAGGCGGCGCGGGCGCCCTTGGCCCTTATATCGCCCGGCGCCGCCCCAGCCCCAGGGCGCTCCCCCAGCTCCGCGCTCCCGCCCCGCCGGCCGCCGCGGCCAAGGCTTACTCACCCGCCTCCCGGGCGCCGGCCCTGCCCGCACTCCTCACGGGGCTGGGAGGACCCGGCGGCCGGGTGGGGACAGGGCCCTGGGGCCGGTCCCCGCTGGTGGGCGGGAAGGGCCAGCACCCACCGGCCCGAGACACCGCACCCGAGCGTGCCAGTGGAGGAGGCGCACCCTCCGCCTGCTCTCCGTTCCCGTTTCTTCACACCGATCGTTACCCTGCATTTCCCTCCTGGTACAGAGTCCACAGATGGTCACGTCACTTTTTCAAGAAGCCTCTGTGAACCCCCTGTGCGTTTTGCCCCATGGCTTCTCTGCGCGGGACCACGGGCCTAAGGCTGCCGGCCCAGGAGAGGGGATGGAGGGGAACACCAGGGCTCCCTCCTGACAGCCTCCGCAAGCCCCCAACAAGTTCACTTTTTTTCAGACAGTCTATAGAAAGTTGAGCTCTCATTCTGCAGACACACCGAATGGCTTGATCTCCTGGGGTAGGAAAGGACTAGTTTCATTACAACTACTAGTATTTTTGAAACATCTACTAGGAGCCAGATAACCAACTAAATTCTGAGAAGACTGGAAAATAAACACAAACCTTGTCCAACTTACAATCTAATGGGGGGGGGGGGGGGCGCGGAGACAAGCAGTCCAGCCACCACCATGCACTGAATGAGAAGCATTGCTGGGAAGGTCCCTGGATTTATGGGAGGAGAATCCCACCCAGTTCGGAGGAGCTGAGCAGCAGATTCCCCAAGTCCTATAATTTAGAACTCTAAGCTAGATCCTAAAAGTTGAGTTCAACTTACAGACTAGCTTTCATTAGTCTTTGTGTATGCCCGTCATGGACCCATTTAGAGACTTAGTCAAGTCCAATGAAGAGTCCAACATATCTCACTTAAATCCCAGAATATCAATGAGCTCCACTCACCAGTCCTTCCAACCTGAGTCCCTCAGCCTCAGGCTACATCCCCAAGGTTGGGCTTCTCTGACAAATTTAAATCACCCAGCATACGTTTATCACAATCGATCAGTCTTTTACAGAGAAGAAGGGGGTATCTGCCTGTGAAAACAGCATCCAAGTGGATTCCTTGGTGAAGTGAAGCCTGACCACTGCACAGAGGATGGGCATGAGGAGGGCTGAGGCCAGAGGCAGGACTCTTAGGCTGAGGCTGCTTTCACAGGGAGAGATGTGGTGCCATGCCTTAGACCCAACACACCTTACACAGGAGGTTGTTGTTTGCCTAAACACTGACAAGTTCACTGCTACGCATCAGCACCATCTTAAACTCTGAAAGTATTACCACCAACAACAAAACAAAGAACCTGGTCAAGATGAGTGATATAAGAGATGTACAAACTAAGTTCTTTGAAAGTAAGGTCAAGGCAGTGGTGCCTACTATCTGGAAGACCCCAGAAAGGCGTCTCAGAGGATGTGACAAATGGGCTGGACTCTGAACAGGGAAGGAGCTCCTAGGGAAAGGAGCAACATCAACAAGAAACTGGGAGAGAAGATTCTAGACCAGTCTAAGTAAAGAGAGGAGGTATGATATATTTGAGGAAGAGTGGGGAATTTTATATGGCTAAAGCATACCAGACCTATTTGGGGTGAGAGATGACATGAGACCAGAAAGGTAAGTTGGAGCCAGACTATGAGAGGCCTTTTGAGCTTTCTAAGAATTTGGATTCTAAAGCAATGGGAAGGTTTTGAATGTTTTGAAGGAAGGAAGTGGGGAGTTTTTTAATGTTTTGAATATTTATACCTGAGTTTAGATTAAGTACCTTTGGTTATGACCACATAGATGATGTTTTGAAGCAGGAAGGCTGGAGACATGGTTCAGGTAAGATAAAATGAGGGTCTGAACTGGTTCACACAGCACCTGTGGGGATGGAAATGACAGGATGAATTTGGGATATGTTTTAACTAGAGTCAGCAGGATTTGCCAAGCAAATACATACCCTGTTTTCCTGAAAATAAGACAGTGTCTTATATTAATTTTTTCTCCCAAAGTTGCACTAGGTCTTATTTTCAGGGGATGTCTTATCTTTCTATGAGCTAGGTCTTATTTTGGGAGGGTCTTATTTTTGGGGAAACACGGAGAAAAGAGTGAAAGAAAGGAGTGGAAAGAGTATTTGGTCTTTCTCTTGGCCACCTAGACAGATGGCAATGGAGCATCCAAGTAGAAAAGTCCATGGAGGCAGCTAGTTAACTGGGTCTGCAGTGTTGGAGGAAAGACAGGTTCAATGATTGAGATTTGAAAGTCATTAGCTTCTATGAGGGTGAACCCAGAGAAGTGATAGGGTAGGAATTTGAACCCCAGCCTCTAGTTTACTTGCATAAATGTTTATTGAGCACCTGCTATGTCCCAGAGCCAGTGGTTTACAAGATGGCCTTGTGCTTCTGCAATGAAGAAGAATGAAGGGATCAGCACAGCTCATCTTCTGGCACCATGTCCAGACTTATTGCTGAAGCCTAGTCATATTTTTTATACAGCAAGTCTGATCCACTGATGGAACACACTCTCAACAATGGTACAAAGTTGCCTTCTTAATAAGGTCACTGAGGGCAGATCTACTGTGGAGCCCAACCCAGCCCCACACAGACCAAGCTCAATACTGTTAATTGATTGCCTTCAAACTTGCACTGCCAATGGATGATTTGGCTTTGTTGAGGGATGAAATGTAACATCAGTTTTATGTCAGAGTTAGTTATATTAGTTTAACACAATCATAGCAGTCCCATCAAAATCTGTTTCTGTTCTTGTAAAATACAACATTAATTATCTGAATATAGAATTAAGTGAGATTTTTCTTTGCTTCTCTATAGTTCTCTGATTTTACAATTTTCTGAATTTTCCAAAAGAGTGGGGTGTGTGTGTGTGTGTGTGTGTGTGTGTGTGTGTGTGTGTGTTTTACAGTAGAATGATGTAGAGCAGAATAAAAACATTTTGAAAAAATGCTTTCCTAATGTGTGATGCAGAGGTTTCACTTGATGCATTTTCAGGAAAACCCCTGCATTTCTTTATAGATAACTTATGCTCTACCAAAATGCCAGAGAATGATATGAAAAATGAATAGGAAAAAAAATAGTATTGGCTATATTTGTTGGTTGCTAATCAGTTGAGAACCATAGCAATCTTTTTCTATTTACTATATTTTTATTATCAAAGTAAGAGCTAGGTAAACAAAATCACTGCTAGTGAACATATTTTAGTCTTTTTTATATGGTTACATTGTTGTGATGATATTGTAGAATTTTTATCCTGCTTTTCTCACTTAACACTGTATGAATACCATGTTTCAAAAGTTGTCGTATTTTAAGCTACCATATTATCTTCTATCAATCAAGTGGGTATACTAGACATTTATTTACATGTGGGTGTACTAGACATTTATTTGATTGATTTTCTATTTTATAAACAAAATGCTGCAGTAAATATCTTCACACTTTCATTTCTGCATCCAAACTCTCAGATGTCACATCATTAAGACAAGTGATATGACAATGTGTGAGGTTCTTAAAATGTGTACCATTGTCTTTCAAAAGAATTGTAGCAGTCTTGTCATCAGCAGTGAATTCTCATAGTTTTAAACTTCTGGTTTTATGGATATGTACCTCATCGCTATTTACTAGCAGTTTAGCTATAGTGTTACCATTCAGACTTAGGAACCATTTATCACAGAGCACTCACTCATCAGCGAGTCTTTGGCTATGTTTGCAGTTAAAGAAGACATAGTGATATCCTTGCCATCCCCAGGTGCCCCCTCTGAGGTGATTGTACTTCTTTCACATCACTAGCTACAGGCTCAGCTTTGAAGGTCCACAGACTCGGAGATGCTGATTAAAATGAATCAAACCCACAACAGACTGAAAAACAACTTTCTCATTCTTAGATTTCCTCATTGTACAAATAGCTATAGGGTTCTTCCTCTTAAACAAAAAAAATATATATATTTAAAACATTTTTACATCCCACTTCTCTTTTTTACACTTTCCCATCTCATTCTTCTCTGGATAGCCAAACTCCCTGAAAGAATTATCTAGATTCTCCCCTGCTACCATTCACTCTTCAAGACTTTACAACCAGAACCCAAGATGGCAGTGTAGGTAAACACATCTAAACTGCAGCCGTGGACAATTTCAAAACTACAACTAAAAGACAAAACATCTATCATCCAGAGCCACAGGAGGGCTGGCTGAGTGGAAGTTCTGTAACCAGAGAGAAAGAGAGGGGAGCATTCAGTGCACAAAAGCTGAAAAACTGAGGTACAGGGGCACGCGATACAGGCTGGCGGAGGTTCCCGATTGGTGGTGGGTGTTGCTTTCTTCAACCCAAAGGGGAGATACCCGAGATCCAAACTCCTATGGGGAGAAGCTGGACTGTCTGCCATCAGGTCGGAAAGTGAGGGTGGCTGGCTTGCAGAGCTGCACGGAGGAATAATTGTTTGCTGCACTGGGGCGCGACACATGGGGATGCCCTCGGAGGTGCTGGACTGCTCACTGCAAGTTATTGCTATTTGCCATGCCCTAGCCTAGTGACGCCCTGAGACTCCACCCTGAACAATCTATTGATACAAACACACCCAAGCTCCAAGCAGTGGCTTTTACATATGAATGGCCTTCACTATAGCTACTAACTGGCAAACCAGTTCAGACAGCTCCATAATCTACAAATCCCAAGCAGGGTGGAGAGGACTGTAGTTCTTACTGTAGCTCCTGCAGGGTGACCTCATACAGTAGCTGACCTGCACCCCAGTGGAGATCCAGAAGCCCAGTGTACCTAGTGGTCAGTATAAGACACAGATTTCAACTCTTCACATCCATAACTGACACATTCAAGAGGCAGACTCAGTGAGCACCAAAGCCACACTGAAACAAGGCCTGCACATAAGCGTGTCTCCAGCACAGCAGTTCTTC